CCACAGGCACCGCCCAAAATGGCTTCCCTCTTCCCAATTCCCACATTGTGTCATACCGTGTAAATAACATGAGTATTTATAAATATATGAAATCAGTCTCTTTCTCACTTTCTACAAAATACTTCATACCTTATAAATGCTTGATTACTAGTATGTTCATATTCTTGGGCAGCTATGTAATTATGGCTTTCATTGTCATAATGTCTCTGCCCACATTTGTAAAAGTATTGAGAACATTTTCTGGAGGCTAATTGACTAGAAGTCTATAGAGGGGTAAAAAGGAATGAACAGTAAACTAACTGCTGGGATATACAAGCTCAGCCTTTCAGTAGCTGAATAATCTGCAGTAAGTATCTCTTTGCCAGTTTTCTCATTTGTACAATGAGGGGGTTGAACTAGAAAAAGTCCTGTCATTAATTCTTGTTGTAATCATTGGGAAGGTACTGGATGTGAGTCCAGGCAATTCTTTTGTGTTTTCATGGACTAGCTTAATGTCAAGATTCTAAACACTTTTTTGTAAAGCTTTGGATACATTTGGTAGAAATGTAAAGCATGCCACCTATAGATGAAAATGTTTTTAGTAGCCACCTTGTAAAAGTAAAAAGAAACCTATGAAATTAATTTTGATAACATTTGAGTTATGAAATTTCAGCATGTAATAAATATAAAAATTATTGGGATATTTTATATTTAGTTGTTGTACTAAATCTTCAAAATTTGGTATAGTTTTATATTTACAGCCCATCTCCATGTGGACTAACCTCATCTCCAGAGCTCAATAGCCATGTATGGCTAGTGGTAGTCATATTAGACACACAAGAGTAGAACATACGCGAGTTAAGGTCAAGGTTCAGCCATTTTGGGGTTGAAAGCGTTATGACTAAAGAATGAGTTCAAGGAGGAAATCAAAGAATAGCCAAATTTCATTGAGCTACTCTTTCTATTACTTATGAACACTGACATTTATGGATACCTTAGTATATACTAGACTGGGTGTTTACAAGTTAGCAAGAATTATTTCATTTGAAATAATTCCAGAAATCTGATAAATAAGACACTCCCTATTCTCTAGTTAAGAAAACCAAAGTAACAAAGTCAAGTAACCTCTATTGTGACATGTGAGTGTATGTTTTCACACAATTATATACAAATGATGATGTAGAAGAAACAGCCCAATCATATATCTACTTCATTTTTTTCCAGACTTGTGGTATGGCTGACTTGAGAGGGCTACAGAGTCCCTGGCCTGTGTCCTAGTCACTTAGGCTTGGGTCTTCTGGTGGACACTCTGGTCACCAATTTAGTTTAGTAAAATGTTAGGTCTAATCCTGGTAACTTATAAAAATCCTCCTATTCCTTCCCCAGCACAGGTGCTATGGTCAAGTGGCCCCTTCTATAGAATTATGAAAAGGCCTGACATGCATATGAGCTCACTGAGGGCCCAGATTTCAACAGAGAACAAAGAGAGCTGTTAGGCTGAAAGAACACAGTTGAAGAGTTAGGTCTTGGAATTGTCATTACCTGGAAGAAGGCAGAGTGTGAAAAGCAAATACTCAAGTAAACAGACACTTCTCTGGGCTTCCTCTTTCCCTTTCCTGTTTGATTTCTTATCCTCCATCCATCAGCCTTTGCTTTCTCTTTCTCTTCCTTGATTTCCCCCTCTTTTCCCAATTTCTTTCTCTCCATCTGTATGGAGGAAATTTCTTTATGCATCCTCTTTTCTCTGAAATAATATGTTTAACTTATCAACTTGCTCAGGGACTTATGGGAGCAAAGGTATTAGCATCAACTCTAGGCAATGTGACTAATTCTGAAAAAATTTCTTCTTTATAGAAAAAAAGAGTTGAAACATTGAAATGGGAAGCTACAGTCCATTTTTGAAGCCACAGAGGATCCTATTCTGATGGAAAAGCACTGTGAGGTCACCTGTGCAGCTCTTGGTCTTACACACAGGGTGACACAGGAATTGTACACCTAGGGGTCCTTGGTCAGCATAAGTGGCCGATAGGTCACCTTGATTCTTGGGTCTTTGTTGGCAGATAATAGGAGGGAAAAAGGAGGTGAGGGGTTAACAGCTGGACTGCTCTCATCTTATGACACTGAACATTCATTAAACATTCTAACTGAACAGCACATAGTCCCTCTTAATGGTTACTTCTAACATAATTATAACACAATATTTGAACCAAGAATTTGAACTTAACACTATGTACATGGTTCTGTGTCATTTTATTACATGTCTAGATGTATGTACCCACCACTGCCATCAAGGTACAGAAGTATTCCACTACCAAAAAGATCTGCCTTGTGATACTTTCTTTGTGGTCCCATCAACTTTCCTAGGATCACAAATGCTATGTGATCATTTGAGGTTGACTTTTTCCGCTAAGTACAACATCCTTCACAGTTACCCACACTGTTGCATGCATCAATGCTTTGCTTTTTTTTTATTGCTTCATAGTATTCCATGGTGCAGATGTATCACAATTTGTTTGACCAGTGACTTATACAGGAACGAATTGGTTCTTTCCAGTTTTTGGCTATTACTAATAAAACTACTGCTATGCACAATCATGTATTGATGTTTGTGTGGATGTAAGTCCTCATTTCTTGGGGGTGAATTCCCAGGAGTATAATTGTTGGGTCACATAATAGATAGATTTAGTTTAGTTTTATTAAAAAAAACTGACAAACTACTATATTTTCTGGAGTAGCCATACCATTATATGTTCCCACCAGCAATATATGAATGATTTGTCTTTACTACATGCTCACCAACATTTCAGTATGACCTCATTTTAACTTGATTCCACTTGCAAAGACCTCATGTCCAAATAAGGTCATGTTTATGAAGTTGAGTATGTCTTTTTGACAGACACAATTTCAACCCACAATACTTACCTTTGGGTCCTGGTGGGTCTGGTTTGAGAGTATTGCCTTCTGGGAAGAGACTTGGAATTCATAGCTGGATTATATATGCTCTTGCTTGTTGAATTTGGTCCCCAGGAAAGGGTGAGCAAGTTCATGTCATTTGAAGAGATACTACTGAGTCTTTCTTAACTCTATTCTGATCTCCAAGGTTTCAAAAATTTGATGATGAAGAATATTCTCAGGAAGCAGAATGGCAAAGTATCTCCCCATCCAGTTTTCTCAGGACTGCCTTTCTCTGCTGCCCCAGCACTGTCAAGGGAAAGGAAAACAAAGCATGAAAACTGGAGTATAAGTTAATTGAGGAAAGGAATACTATTTAGTTATTTTTACATCTACTTCAGATTATAGGCTAGAAAGGTGCCTAGTAAGGT